GTGGGTAAAGTGTTGGCCACACATACCAAGGGTGGCGGGTTCGAACCCCGCCCCAGGCAAACTGCAACAAAAAAATAGCTGGGCATTGTGGCAGGTGCCTGTATTCCCAGCTACTCGGGAGGCCGAGGCAAGAGACTCACCTAAGCCCAGGAGCTGGAGGTTGCTGTGAGCTGTGATGGCACAGCACTCTATAGAGGGTGATAAAGTGAGACTCTGTCTCTAAAAACAAGAAAAATAAGACACCAGGGGGTAAGGAATCTAATTTGTACCAAGTGTTCAGGAAGGCTTCTGACAAAGAGTGTAGGAGGAGCTGGAGTCTCCTGATGAGGTTGGTCTGGAAAAGATTTCAAGCATGTGGAATAGAAGATATGAAGGTCCAAAAGTAAGAGCAGCTCTAGGCATCCAAGGGCCAATCTGGATTACTTGCCCTCCACCGCTCTTTTTTTTTTTTTTTTCTTTTTTTAAGACAAGGTCTTGCCCAGGGAGGAGTACAATGGCATCATTGTAGCTCGCTGTAATCTCCAACTGCTGGGTTTAAGCAATCATTCTGCCTCAGCCTCTCGAGAGGCCAGGACTACAGGTGCTACCATCACATCTGGCAGACCTCCACTCATCTTAAATACCCTCTGATACTAAATGTTTTGGAAAATCCTATCTGACATATACTCTGTGCTTTCCCACAATAATAATTTGAGATATATCTCATAAAAGCAATTTCAATTGATAGTGTCACATCTTTTTGACATACATTTTGAAGATTACCTTAGCCCAAACCTGCACTCACATCTGAGTACAGACTCAGGAGACAAAGCCAACCCCTCCCCTTCTTGCATACAAAAATAGCTTTTCCAGATCGACTGTTGTAATAGGCTTTTTTCCAGGGCTTTCTGCTCTACTGAAACTAAGCAGTTAAATGAGCAATTTCACTCTAGTTTTAAACCCTGGAGAAATGACAACATTTTTGTTTCTGTTTTTAGATTAGGGGGTGAATTTTAAGTCAATAATTTTTAATTCATCCCCTGCACCTGTCATATTCTTTCAGTACCACGCACGTGAGTTAACATAAAATGCATATAAACCAAAAAAAACAAAAAAAATGCATATAAACCCAGCATAGAGAAAGAGTCCTAGCAATGCAGCCTCGTATTTGTCCTTCGACATAAATTTGAGATATTCTCAAAAGGTCTTCCGACATAGTGACATGTTGCTTAAATTGGCCAGCAGGGGGAGACCAGGGAGTCGTGGAGCTCCAGATGAAGCCACACCCAGATTATGGTTGCTCAGATCTAAACGTCTCCTCTAAGAAAAAAAACACACACAAAAGAAAATGAGAAATTCTGGAAAAGAAATGCTTAATTGGGGTAAGATTCACATAACATAAAATTAGCCATGTTAAAGTGTACAATTTAGTGGCATGTACTACAGTCACAATGTTATGCAACCATCGCCTCTATGTAGGTCCAAAACATAAGAAATGCTTAAATTTTATATAAAAAGCACAAAAGCCCAGCGCTGTTCTATCTTCCCCATTCCGTCACACTCCCAGGTTTGTTTCCACCTGCATTATGTTAGGAATGGTCCCTACGCATTCCCCAAACAGCATTCTTCACTACACACTTCACAGAAGCTGACCCAGTGTTAAAATTACATGTTCGAAAACCAAAAACATCCCAATTCTTTAGCTCTTTCTCTAGGAATTCACAATTCCAAGGATAGCCAGAATGGATGACTGTTTAAAAAGTTCTTTATATATTATTGTTTTTCATTTCTCAGCAAATAGATTATTTTAATTTAAATATGGCTACAAAACGGAAATGAACAATGTACCCCACCAAAACTCCTCAGTCTTTGATAGGAAATTTAAAGTTATTTCCATCCAGAATGAAAATTTATTTCTAGGTTAGACTAAGAGCCAAGATTTTAAGGGCACCATGTCAATTGGTTAGATAACAACTTTGAGAAAAGCAGAACTTAATGTAATAAAAGCTGAAGGTCTACAATCTACAATTCAATTTTTTATTAAAGAATTTAATCTACTTCTTGGGGTCTTGGCCCAGGGACGGATTAAAAAAAAAAAAGCCAAACTGTAGAGCGGGGGAGGGGAATTGCTGTTGGTGACTCTGGGAAAACAGGCGGGAGGGAAACTGAAGCGCGAATGAGGCCGGATCCGCCCTAACAAAGAGTCAGAAACTGTGTCTCAACAGCCACCAAATCCAGTTCAGGGCGGTTTGAGCCAGTTTCTGAGCTGGATTGAGAACAACAGCCTCGGCTGAGACTTCACTAGGGTGAAACAGAAAATACAAAATGGATTTCATAGAAAGAACTGGATTTGGCCTGGACTCATTGGAGCCTAAAGCTGTTTCCTAGAGTAGCAAAGTCACATAAAATATAAGGCCTGGAGTCAGAACAGTGGCCTGTGATAGAAGGAGAAATTACAGAGCACTGTTTCTGTGCCATGATCCAGTCCGCACTTTCTGTCTTACTGCTCCTAATTGTGGCTGGTAAGGGAAAGAGGGCCTCAGGGTATCAGTTTTCAGAGAAAGCTAGCTGCAGTGGTGGGGGAGGGGAGGATTGTGTGACTCCGGTAGTTTAATGAGTAGTTTAATGTGTGTGCGTGGGGGAGGGGGATGTGTGAGAGGGTCTCAAGAAGAGGGAACGGTACTTCACACCCTGCAGTTCACACCACCTTCCCAACACCTTTGCTGCATTATTGCACAACCTCAAAGTACACTGCACACAGCTGTTGTGGGAGTGCCCTATGTACAATTGTCATTCGTGCCCTAATTATCAGTCCTTCTTAAACCCTATGCCTTAGATGACAATTTGCCTACTCAGTATCGTCAACATACTCTTTTCATCTGTGTCCAAAACAACAAGCTGTACATACCTTCCAAACTAAAAGACACAGCAGTATTAGGTAACACTGGAATGATAATCCTGTCCCCTGGCACCCCTCCCCCACGTACCAGAACCTCCTAACACCTGATCCTGCCCACCCTGAAGTGGCTCCTCTAACCAAGGTCTAACCTAAACTGTCGTCCGCAGCTGTCGAGGGTGTGCACATCCTGCGGCCAAGTTCAGCTCAGAACCTTCCAGGACTAGCATCCCTTCCCCCATGAAAATCCCCCAGAGGCTTCCTGAGAGTAAAAGTGCAGGTCTGCAGGGTGGGATGGAGAATGTGTGTGTTACCTCTCCCACAAGGCTTCAGTGAGGGGAAGTGAGCTGTGGGTGGTGGGGGCCCACAGAACTTACAGATCTCACAGACACAGGCTCAGTACAAATGCGCCATGGGTTTCAGAAATACCCTAAGGAGTTGGGGGAGGGGAGAGGGGAAAATCAAGGGCAAAGATGTAAAAAAAAAAAAAAAAAAGCCCTTTTCTTCTTTTTACCATAGGTACAAGGATGGACAATTGGAACACAAGCCATTTTGCATTATTCATGTACGAAAATCCAGCAGACACAGAACTTGCTGGCATATTCCATTTGATGCTCATTACACAAATAAATAACTTACGAAGCACTTCTGCATTCATAACGGTTAGACTCTGGGCTGCCATGGACTCTGCTGGAAGGTTTTTTGTTGCTTTGGTGTTTCTTTTTCGGTTAGGAAACAATGACGACTGCAGCAGGCTACGTTGTCGTTACAGTAAGTCATCATCACAGTCACAGCATTGAGAGCTCTCTATAAACCAGGCATGTATCAAGTGTTTTGTATCTTAAAACATCTTATCCGTATATTTCTAAGGTATTGCTGTTCCCATTTCAGAGATCAGGAAAATTAAGTTTGTACAAAAAAAGTAGTTATTTTACCTAAGTTCACTCGTTTATAACGTGGCAGGCAAACATTTTTGGCTGCGAAGTCCCCACATTTAACCTGAGTCTATACCGCCGCCTCACTGGCAAGTGTTATAAACTCTTCCAGATCCTACTAAGTGTCAGCCTACGTTGGCTGGGGAAGGCGGTGACAGTAAGAAGGGAAGAATCGTTTCGGCTATGAGAACACTGTTGGTTCCTGCCTTCAACAAGCTTTCAATCTAATGGCTGTTTTTTCAAGGACAATGCAATAACTGACGAGGGATTTTTTTTTCTGTCTCTGGGCGTCAGAGGACATCTGGGAAATAACAGTTTGGAATTTCCCTGCCATTTCCGCGCAGGGCGGAGAGGAACATTTGAAACCCGGCTGGGCTGGCAGCGGCAGGCAGCGCGGGCGGGTGGGGGTGGGAAGGGGCAGGGCGAGGCCGCGGGGAGCCGTAGCCATGGCAACCCAGCCTGCTTTCCAGAACAATGTCTCTAACCGGGAAAACAGCTCGAGAGCGCTTTCCCTTCATAAGCCCTCGCCTGCCAGGCCAGGGAGCGCACAAAGGGGATTCTTTCTTTGAAGAGAAATGACTCTTTACAAGGCCCAGAACAAAGGGAAACATTTGTTGTATAGGGTCCGTCTTTGTACTGGGCCGGAATAAAGTCAACAAAGCCCAGTTGCTTAGTTCCTCTCCACTATCCACAGGAAATGAACACTTCATGGTCACGCTAGGTTCCTGGTCTATTTTTTTTTTTTTTAAATACATTTGTTGTAATTTTTCTTTTACCCCCATTTTACAGATGAGGGACTAGTAAGCATGAATGGACGTGACCTCTGCAAAACTGTAGTTAAAAACCTGGAAGTCCGTTTGGAAAGGTTTGTGAAGGTGGCCTTGCCTTTGCTTGTTTTGTGATATCCACCAGATAACGCGAGGAGGGTTCTCGTCCACGTGCTCGTGGCCTTCGGGGCACAGCGCAAGCTGCACCGGTCGCCGGCGCCAGCTCAGCTTCCTGTGGCTGCGGCTGCGGCTGCGGCTGCCCCTCCCCCGCCCCGCGGGCCGGCTGGGGGAGGGGAGGAATGCGGGCGCTCCAGCCACACCCCGCAGGCCTCCACTCCCGCGAGCTCGGAAACTCCTGCTCAGCTCGTTAAAAGAAGACTGTAAGCTGACTGGTGACTGTACTCCTCCAGGCTGCCAAGTGACCTACAGTCTGACTACACCCAGCGCACTGAAGGCTGTCCCTAGCTGGGCCCAACCAGGGTGTGACCTCGCTGAAGATGAGTGCCGGGTCGCCTTAGTCTCCACCTGTAAGACCAGAACAAGAGCAGTTACTGTTCTAAGAGTAATAACAAACGATCTTATACAAATGCCTACACTCACGAAGAATGTCATTTTTTTTAGTTTTAGGAACCAGAAAGATTAAGAATCCTGCTTCCTGCATCTGGGGATCCTCGACAATATAAAAAATCCGCAAGGCAAAAATAGAATTGACCCACACCTCAGCTTCAGTCCCTTTGTGTTCCAACTACACTTTCCAGGTATCCCTAGAGATTGTGTTGCCCTAAGGTCCTCAGTGATAGGACTGATGTCCTATCAGTCCCCACCCTGTCCCCACTCCCCAGGAACAAATTGAGAACTACTGCCAGAGAATCTTTATGAAGAGTTAATTGGATGAACTGTACGTATTAAAGTAGGGCCTAATTATGTTGTCCTTCCCACAGTTATTTATATTTCAGTAAATACTGTTAGCTTACCCTGCTTTAGGAAGTCAAAGTAATGGAGTGTTATGGTAAATTTTTAAAGACCCTGTCCTTGGTATAATTCCCTTCCCCAAAGGTTGAACCTTGTAATTTTCAATAGTCATTCCACATTCATTGAAAATTTCTTAACAGGGAACTATGGTATTAACCGCTATACTAGACATGTGAATTTTAAAAATGACATAACGCATGGAACTCATCTTTGCAGATCTTACAGTCTCAGAAGACTCACAGGAAATCAGCTATTGTAGAGTGACATGTCATATGCTTTATATTTCTTTACAGGAACAAAAGGGTGTGCTATGGGAGAAGAGACCGAGGGACATGAAAAACAGTAAGATTGGGCTGGGGGGAGAGTGAGATAGCCAGATGGCTTCTCAGAAAGACTTGAAAAATGAGATAAAGTTACCTAAAATAACACCAGGGGTAAACGTTAAAAAATAAAAGCTTCATTCTAGATTTATTAACTGGTCAGCCATCAGGCAGAAATAAAAGAACTCAAACAATAAGGTAGGACAGGAGCCTAAAATCCACCAGATAAGGAGCTTTTCAAAACCTGAAATGGATGCCTTCACTAGCAGGAAAACCAGGAGACTTCCCAGCATCCTATTTATAGCATAATACCCACTCCACAAACATGAAGAATACAGAGGAAAAGTGAGCTATTATCATGCAGACTTCAATGTCCAAAGCACTGTCAAATGTCAACATGTTACTTATAGCTCTAGGATTATTACAAAAATTATATGTTAATAGACTTAAATTCACGGTTGCAATTATTAGACACATGATATTCAGTCAATACTAATATTTTCACTGAAGTTTTCAAGTAGTCTGCTAAGACCTCTTTACACAGGCTAGGCTAAGATCTGGCAGCCACTAACTATCCCGTACCACCTACCCTAATGGGCAATCTCTTTAACCATTTCAGCTCTTAAAAGACAAAGATAACAAGAGGAAGAGAATCTTTAAGACATATGGGAGTTATAGGGGGTGGAGTATTGAAAGTTTACCATCATACTGCTCTCCCAATTGGAGGTCTCCTAGTAAACAAGTTTTTCAGCCCCTGCTTTTTTCCTGCTGGTATCCATCAGTGACGTTCCCCCAAATGTTTCTGGGTCTCCAGTTTCTGGTCACTACATAATATTTTATTACCTGACTTCTTTGAAATTAGTCATTCACTTTAGTTAATAAGAGAGGAGGTGATATGTGTCACTTCCAAGAAAAAGTTGTAATAAGTCACTGAGTTATGCTGATAGTTATGTAAAATAAGAGTTAACGTGGTCTTTGCTTTGAACTTTTATATATAAAACTATAATTTTAAAAATAATAAACGGGGGTGGCGTCTGTGGCTCAGTGAGTGGGGCACCGACCCCATATACCAAGAATGGCAGATTCAAATCCGACCCCTGTCAAACTGCAACAAAAAAATAGCCAGGTGTTGTGACAGGCACCTGTAGTCCCAGCTACTTGGGAGTCTGAGGCAAGAGAATCCCCTAAGCCCAAGAGCTGGAGGTTGCTGTGAGCTGTCACGTCACAGCACTCTACTGAGGGCAACAAAGTGAGACTCTGTCTCTGAAAAAAAAAATTAAAAAAAATAATAATAAATGGGCAGCCCCTCTGGGTCAAGGAGTAGGGTGCCAGCCCCATGTACCAGGGGTAGAGGGTTCAAGCCCGGCCCTGGCCAAAACTGCAAATAAATAAATAGAAATTTAAATAATAATAAACCAAGACTACTCTCACTGTTGTCCTGAATCCAAGTCTTCTAACAAAGTTTGGTGGACCTACCCCCATCTCTACATATTGGCTGACAATAACAGGCAGCCAGACCCTCTTCTTCTGGTCGTATACATATATAAGTAATACAACGTCTTTTTTTTTTTTGAGACAGAGCCTCAAGCTATCCCCCTGGGTAAAGTGCCATGGCATCACAGCTCACAGCAACCTCCAACTCCTGGGCTCAAGTGAGCCTCCTGCCTCAGCCTCCCAAGTAGCTGGGACTACAGGCGCCCGACACAACACCCGGCCATTTTTTTTTGGTTGCAGCCATCATTGTTGTTTGGCAGGCCTGGGCTGGGGATTCCAACCCACCACCTCAGGTGTATGTGGTTGGCGCCTTAGCCGCTTGAGCCACAGGTGCCGAGCCAACATCTTTGTTTTTATAATTTTTTGTTATGGAAGTAAAAGAAGTGGGCAACATAAAACTAGTGGGATATTTGACACTGTACTTAAACTAATGAATGTATGAATATCTGGTTAATTGGAAATAGTTGCTATTCTCAGTGAGTTCTCAAGGTGCTCATCAGATATTTTGGTTCTAATTTTGCTCTTAACATGTTTCATTCTTGAAAATTATTGCTCACAAATGTAGGTACTGCCCCCAAATGATGACTTAAATAAGCCATGATTGTGAAACAAGGGATATTTGTCTCTGGGAAGATAGGACCTATAAAAGTCCAACAAAGAGACATGATCAAATTTGTTTTTAAGCTGAATGTCAGATCGCAGCTCTATGCATTCCATTTGAAAATTGGTGAGTAACATATTTATGTCCACTGAAAATAGAGTTGCGAATGCACCAAAATATTATTTTCCCAGAAATATTGAAATCTGTTTTCAAATTCTTGTATCTAATTGAAAGGCAAGGCTGCATATTTTTCACTGTTCACCAGACTGTGTTTAGCCAACGTGTCAAAACGCATAAAATTGTTTGCCTTAATTTGAGCTTTCCATAATTTCAGTTTCATTTTGAACACTGTTACAGTTTGAAACATTGTATTGACAAATTGATTTTCACCCTGAAGACTTATGTTTAACTAATATAAAGGAGCAGTTAAAACTAGTAAAGATGCTAAATCTGTAAGCCAGTTTTCATCAAGTTCTGGGTCATATTTGGTTCTTGATACCATAAACAACTTTTTTTTTTTTTTTTTT